GACGTCAGCTGACCCTTAGCGCAGCTGCTACCACGGGCCACAGGCCATACCTGTCCAGGCCAAATAGCGAGCTCCAGGGTCGACTCAAACCCACCCCCGTCACGGGCTTGTGGATCGCAAGGCAGGTAACCACCAACTGAGCCAATGGATAAGACTAGTACCCTCCGATCTTCTCAGTAATCCCATTTAACCGATGTGGGTGGGATTGCATAAATAAAATAACTGATGTTCGTTGGCGGAAAGCCCACCCGAACAATAAGGAAAGCTCTTGTCTGAAAACAATAAAAAAGATCCACCTCAAAGCAGGCCCTAAAACATTAGGTCAGCTCAACATTGGGAGGGGTAGGGGGGAGGGGGGGAAGGGTTCAGCAGCACAAAACAATACAAATCGACATCTGTGAACGCTTGCTTGATAAGGCGTTATGACTGAGAATTTCGAGTCGGGCGATTGCCTGCAGCTGAAAACACCTCAGGGTATCTAGCCTCAATACAAATGGAAAATCAACAACACCGGCTGAACACTACTCCCAGTATCTAGCGTGCACTTGGCTATCTGCACATTGTGGCCGTGTATAGACGCTTCTTTCCGGAGACGAGGTGGCAATAACCTAACCAGGGCTGTCTTACAGCTCTTACCCATCATCACCGTACAGCCAGATACTGTCGTTACTTGCGTGGTGACATCACTTGTCCACGTCGTCATACTGTTTGAGCGGAAACAACCACGCTGGGAATAAATTCCAAAAAAGAGCTGGGAAAGCATCATAAATATTGTGGAATAAGCAATGTTTGATCCGAAGAATTTTTTATATGCCGCTACCCAAGCACAGGGTAACCAGGGAGTGCCCTCCCTCAATCCCAGCGACGCAAGTAAACCGTACGTTTAACACCAGAAAACATAAAATCAGGCTGCGGCACTCCCAGCTAGGAAGATGGAACAAACGTAAAGAAGCAGGCGAAGAGGGTAGCGCAGACCCGAAGGAATTGTGTTATTTAATAGGTAGGGAAAAATCATAGATGAGGCTTAAAGTAGTCATTAGCAAAAGTCAGCTAATGACAGCCCGCTATAACCGCCCAATAAGCTACAACCACTCAATTCACGTGTTAGTAAGGGCTATACAGTCACACAAGTCGGAGGGGGGAATTACCTGGTCATTTTCGTGGTGGGTTTTGAGCTGGATGTCCAGGGAGTCCACCCAGCTAAGCAGAGCTTGTTGCTGGGAGCAATATATACTATGTCACACAATATGATAATTATTGTCACAAGGTAAGGCGAAACACTAGGCTGCTGAAATTTGAAGAACTGGTTGAGTCTTTTTAAAGCATGGTTATGTACACGGCGGCAAAAATCCCAAAGTCTTGGAGTGTTGGGCCGGTCTCGGGAAACGGCGGTATCCTTGGTGTAGAACACTAGGCAAAACGATGGCTGCACTTGTCAATAGTGCGATCAGAAACCCTAAAACGTATCGGATCTATTCGCGCAAGTGCAGAGGAAGCAGCGATGGACACGAGGATGTCATGATGGCCCTCTAGGTCTCTGTGTGCGTCCGGCTCGTGTCCCTCTGAGGGCCGGCGATTAAGGGTCCGAAGGGCTGGCCGGAGGTCGCATTAAGTGACCCAGATTTGCGGGCTGAGCCCTCTAACACCAGTCAAAGGACAAGTTGCGATGATGAGGGGCACTCAAGTCGACGAAGATCTCTTTATCGGTCAGGCACCACCAGTACCGAATAGTCGGCTCAATGACGACCTTGGCCTGATCATTTCCCAAGCAGAAAGCTGGGACAAAGCCTAGGACCGCGATTTCTATTGGCCGGGGTCCCTCGGTCAATGAAGGCTCCCTAAGTTGTTCAGAGACCCACAGTGCCCAACAGGGGTCCTTTGCTGCCAAGGAATCCCAAGCTGGCCAGTAGCGATGTTCGAGAGAGCCCGAAGAGTTCCCCGAATGGCTAATCGGGACCAACGACCAAGAGACCAGTTGGAAGTCTGGACCCAAACAAATATGCAGAGATTTGGATGCAAAACAAAAGGGTCTGGTCTGGTCTAAATGGTCCCAAACTTTTTGGACCATCGCCGGAATGGCGCTCCCCTGATCTGCCAGTGTGTGGCTACGATACAACACAAGTTGGAAAACAGCATTCAGATCAACTATTTTGCCAACACTATTGCAAAACTTCAGCATGCACGCTGCATTGCCACCAAAACGTCATCATATCATCACCAAGTCACTGCCACTAGACTTAAAATGGCGTAGTCAAATGAAGGACAAAAATATTAAAAACTGGGCTGCAAGAGTGAAATGGTTTGAGCTTTGCTGGATTCGTTCCGTTGGTTTTGCGCTACCATAGGTCCATGTTAAGGTCAGGGGTGGACATGACCCCAAAAAGACAGGCAATATTTCAGCCCTGCCGACAGTTTGTCGAGAAGCGTGGGAATGAGGTTCAGCAGCCGAATGGCGAGCGTGAGCTCCGACATACACAGTAAGAGGAGCTTCGTATTGAAAAGGCTGACGCGTGGTGCATTCGCCCTGGTATTTCTGGGGCGTTGTAATGATCGTGTTTAATACGTTTGGGTTTTGTGACATTTTGCGCATGTGATTGCGCCACCGGAACGCGCAGACATGCGTTTGACACCTTCGGGTGTGAGAATGCAGGCGGCAATCACTCACGTTCTGTAAATTGTGGGGGACGCGTCCCCATGCCCCACGATGTCGCCGCCCCTGATGGCGGCGCCGACAAGGGTGCGAACGGCATGTGGTGTGGCAAGGCACGCTGTCTGACCCGCGCGGCGGGGGAATGTTGACTTCCCCCAGGGTGTTTCGCACACAAGTAAATAACAAGCGCTTGCAACAACAGTACATGTTCAGTACATGTTCGTCTATCAATTTGACATGCTATGTGTTAATTGAAGTTTTGGTCTGTTAACATTAGGGACCTCAGGTCAGGTAAAGTGCCAACCTTTAAAAGACGTTGACCACACGTAACTTTGTATTGGGGTCATTCGCCATTGTCCACACTTGTAGAAATAGAGCATGATTGTACCTAGGGGCTGCAAATTTCATGACTGCCTGTAAAATGCAAAGTCAGTGACCTGAGATCGGGCAAATTTTTGCTGTATTTTGGAAATTATGCAAATTTATACTATTTTGTGTAGCTTTGGTGTATGTATACAAGGAAAAATGCTCACTCACATGCACAGCCGTCATATGTCCACAGAAGCGCCGCGTGCAAAGCTATGTTTTTAAACGATTTAACCAGTTTTTTTAATGTTTCGCCAGCCTGGGCTCGTCTTAGCTTGTGACATGATGCTCATATTTCTTCGGATCAATCATGACTCGTGCCACAACATTTAGGATACTTGCCCGCTCCTTTTTTAAAAGATGTTCCCAGTGTAGCTGCTCCGCTCAGATAGTATGACATAACTGGACAAACGATGTCATCACGCAAGCAACAACAGCATCTGGCTATACGGTGATGATGGAAGATTGCTGTGAGAAGCCCTGTGCAGGTTATTGCCACCTCGTCTCCGGAAAGAAGTCTCTAAACACGGCACAATATGGGGATAGCCAAATGCACGCTAGATACCGGGAGTAGTGTTCCGCGGCGTTGTTGGTTTTATGTTTGTATTGGGGTGAGATATGCAAGATATTTTCAGCCGCAGGCAATCGAACGTCTCGGAATTCTCAGTCATAAAGCGTTATCAAGGAAGCGTTCACGGATTTCGAATTGTATCGTTTTGGCCGCCGCGCCCTGTTCCCCCCTCTCAGTGTAGAGACGGCCTCTTAAAGGGGCCCTTTGAGGTGCATTTCTTTATTGTTTTCAGACGAGAGCTTAAATTTTCTTTTTTGGGGACTTTCCGCTCACAAAACACCAATTTGTCTTACTTGGTGCAATCCCACCCACATCGGTTACATGAGATTGCTGACAAGATCAGAGTGACCAGTCTGTTCCATTGGCACAGTTGGTTGGCTACCCGCCTTGTGATCCAGAAGCCCGTGGAAGGATTGGTTGCAGTCGATCCAGGCGCTCGCTATTTGCCCTGCACGGGTTTGGCCAGCGGCCTGTGGTAGCAGGTGCACTAAGGGTCAGGTGACGTCAGAGGGCAGGACGGGCCGTTGCGGACGTTGCGGGACGTTAAACTTTCGCCACCAAATTCTGACGTTGAAATGGATTTACGTGGTCGGATGGTAGGGACCAGAGCTCCCAAAGCAGCACTGCTTAGCGTGAACTCTGATACCAGAAAAATATCTATTCAAAAGGTTCCAATTACGTCTATAAAAAGTCCAACAGAGTTAGCTAATTATAATCAGGTATTTCGTCTACCTTATTAGATAATAAGGTCATAGTTTTCAAGACATACATGTCACTAGTTAGCACAAAGCTGTCAGTGTTCTTGAGAAAAATTGCTAGCTGAGTTCATAGATAAGTTATGTAGCCCAAGACTTCACTGCATAGCACTGAATTATTTGTATTTTGCGAACACTTTATGTTACGGCTAAATTTCAGTGCATCCTTTCGAGACTACGTTATAGATGAGGTTACTTTTACCAATATTTAACCCCTCCTATTCGTGTGTACTTGACAGTTGAAACATTTGGTTGGGTCCTAATTCCTGTTTTTGAAGAAATCTCTCATCCGATCCAAATAAATCTGTGCATGAATCCGCAAGCCACGGATTTGTCCAATCCGTGTAATGCTCTAATGGTCTTGCGTTCACCAGGATTAAGCGAGGCTTACAAGGAAATATCGGTTTTTTCATGGGGAATCACCTGTTCTGCTTGCGCACTGCAGAGAGAGGAAAGCTGAACCAGCATTGTATCACCCAAATAGGCGTTTACCCAAACAGTGCAGTTTTCAAGCAGGGGGTGGCCGGAAACACACTGTATGTGTGGCAGCTCTCCAAGAGTAAAGGCAGGTGTGGTCACCTCACCTATTTATGGCTGCCACAGCTGTGCGGAGACACATTCACTGCAGTCCACTCCAGCCTGCAGCACGTCCGCCGCCATGAAGGTGCGTACTTACGAATGGGTAAAGCGTTTGATGCAGCGCGTCGGCGACTTGTGGTCCCCCCGCCATCCAGCAGCGGGCGAACGGCAGGGCTGTGATCTGATCCGCCGCGTTGCTGTGCTGAGCCTGTAGCGGCTGACATGGCTGACTTTTAGCACCAGTCAACGAACATACTGTCGGTGCAAGCTGACACTGTCATATGTCATCACCTATGTAAATTATCCCTGCAAAATTTCCGACGCGTAACAAGCCATAACTCTAGCCCATTTGTACCTGCATAGTTCAAGGCGCCCAGTAGCATAGCACAAGATAATTGTTGATGTGCGGTCTGTTTCAGCTGGTGATTCTGTCCTGCCTGGTGGCTGTCGCCGTTGCCAGCGGCTTTGGCGACTACGGCCTCGGAGGTTATAGTGGTGGATACGGCGGCTACTGCGGCTATGGCGGCTGCAGAGGATACGGCGGCTATGGCGGTTACAAGGGATACGGTGGCTACGGCGGCCGCGGTCTTTACAAATACGGCGGTTACGGCGGTTACGGCGGTTACGGTGGTTACCGCGGCCACGTTGGTTATGGCGGATACGGCGGTTACGGCGGCTATGGCGGTTATGGCGGCTATGGACGGTACGGCGGCTATGGTGGTTATGGTGGCCGCTTTGGTTATGGCGGCTACGGCGGTTACCACGGTTACAGCTATAAAGGCTACTGAGGATATCGACGGCACTAAATCAACGGCCAAAAGTATGGCCGCTGCTGCAACTTGACACAGATGTTATAATTGTCCTCAGACCAAGCTCTTCATGAATAGGATGCGTGTTTATATACACATAAGGCAGCCCGGAGAGTGTGCACATGTTTGTGGGTGCGCTTTAGGGCCCTGTGTCGAATAAAACAGCACGGATTCAAACCCTGTGTGAAGGATGGAAGCTAAGACAAGGCATGGGACCGCGATTTACATTGGTCGGGGTCCCTTAGTCAATAATGGCTCCCTTCTTCAAGGGCCTGGTAGGAACTCTCGTCCCAAGCAAATATGCAAATATTTGGATACAATACAAAATGTTCTGGTCTGGCCTAAATGGTCCTAAACATTCCGGACAATCGCCGGAATGGCGTTACTCTGATCTGCCAGTGTGTGGCTACGATAGCACACAAGTTTGAAAACAGCATTCATATCAACTATTTTGCCAAAACCATTCCGAAATTTCAGCATGCACGCTGCATTGCCACTAAAACGTCATCATCTCATCACCAAATCACTGTGACCAGACTTCAAATGGTGGACTCAAATAAAGGATAGAAATTTTGACAATTGGGCTGCAAGAGTGAAATGGTTTGAGCTTTGCTGGATTCGTTCCGGTGGTTTGGTGCTGTCAGAGGTCGATGTCAAGGCTTAGGGGTGGACATGACCCCAAAAAGGCATGCAATATTTCACCCCTGCAGACAGTTTGTCGAGAAGCGTGGGAATGGCGTTCAGCAGCCGAAGTGGCGAGCGTGAGCTCCAACACACAAAGTACGAGCAGCTTCATATTGAAGAGGCTGGCGAATGATCCATTCGCCCTGCAAATATTTGGATATATTTTTTTAGCGTTGGATACATACTTCTGGAGCGTTGTAAAAATAGTGTTCAATACGCTTGGGTTTGTGGCATTTTGCTCGTGTGATTGCTTCACCAAATCGTGTAGTCATGCCCGTGACAATTTCGGGTCTGAGAATGCAGACGACTATTACTCACGTTCTGTAAATTTTGGGGGACGCGTCCACATGTCCCACGGTGTCACCACCGCTCATGGCGGCGTCCACAAGGGTACGAACGGCACGTGGTGGGACAAGGCACGCTTCTTAAACCGCGCTCGGCAGGGGGAAAGTTGACTCCCCCCTACGGTTTTTGCACACAGGTAAATAACGAACGCTTGCAGCAACAGTACATGTTCAGTACCTGTTGGTCTATCAATTTGGCATTCTATGTGTTAATTGAAGTTTTGGTCTATTAACATTCGGAACCTCAGGTCAGGTCAAAGGGCCAACCTTTAAAAAACACTGACCACATAGCTTTGTTTTGGGTCATTTGACATTGCTCACACTTGTAGGAATTGAACATGACGGTACCTACAGTCTGCAAATTTCATGTTTTTTTTAATAAAATGCAAAGTCAGTGACCTGAAATCGTGCAAATGTTTGCTACATTTTGGAATTGGTACAAATTTGTACTATTTCGTGAGCTTTGATGTATGTATATACAGAAAAGTACTCACTCACATGCACAGCCATCGTATGTCCACAGAAGATATGACCGTGGTGCGGGTCATGGCCTATCCCCACGGGTACCTTCTGGAAATACTTGCTGAGCTCAAAATAAAGAGTTTTGAAATTTGGTTTTAGACGCTGAATTGGAATACTCTGCTGAAATAATATTGAGATATCATTCTGATGCACAATGAGGCCACAAAAATCTGAGAAGAGATGCAAGGTCATGTGAGGTCATCGAAGGTAAATGACCTACGCTGCCAATGGCACAGAGGCCGGATGAGCGAGTGTGACGCATGTAACCACCTCTTCATCGTGTTAATGAAGCTGCTGGCCCCCCTAATTTCATGTACCAACGTGCTTGTCCTTAATTTGTTTCAAATACATTGTCAATCGTCGAAGGGAATGTGTATAATGTGCACAACAGTTATGGGATCTTGAGTGCCTATAGATGTACAAGACATTACGATGGACCACAGAAAAGCCTTGAACTGATCACATGGACCCGGTTAGAAATTCTTCAACTTTTTCATCAGCATGGTTTGTAGGTTTGATCTCACTTGATCTCAGGTGTCCTCTATGTCACCAAGATGGCATTTTTTGCCTGGAAAGTTTTCCACAGTTGCAGCTAATGACATGAACTTAATCAGAGGCATATCGCAGAATCCATTATCTAAGCAGTTTGTGCAATAATTACTAGCACAGACGCTTCAATTTTTCGAAAAGGGTCATTGGCTGACTTGCGGAGCAAGGCCCCCGTTCGGTGCAGAGGGCCCGGACTGAGACAGGGCACTTCCATTATCTTCCATTGAGGGCCCGAAGAACGCAAGGTGTCCTCTAGTATTCAAAGACCCGTTCGTGCCCCTGTTCAGCAAAAGCAGGCCGCCGCCCGCTTGACTGCAGGGGAGGCATCGTGTCCCTACTATTCCCTCTCATCCGCAACGTGCCGTCATTAAAGACGGCCCGTCAGGATTCCGGCTGGGTAGGTGATAGGTTTTTACGTGTGTGATTGTCGTCAGGAGCCCAGAAGCCCTCACGTGCTCTGCGGCAATAGAGATGTGCTCATCGCCGTCCGCACAGACGCTATGAGAACTTGCCCAGTGCAATTTAGTCATGAATATTGGATCTCAGAGATCAATAGTCACTTCAGAAGTTGGCGGATCCCTTCAAGTGGCTTTAATGAAAATCCTTCAATAAGGAAGGTCAGGGAGTGAAGTGTTTAAGCCAGAGACGGGCGGGAATGAAATAAAAAGGAACGCTCGAGAAGAGATTTGCACGTTGTCGCAGTATTGAGGGAAGCAAAAAGGAGCGTTTGGATTAAAGCAGGAGTGGGAAAGGAAATGATGCAGATACCTGAAGCAATCTACATTTGATGTTCAGTTTTGAAGGAAAGGCACGTTCAGCATTGGTTGACATACAAATAGGTCAATTGAAAGAAGGCGCTTTCATACTTTGATCGCATTCAATTGTCTCATTCATCTAGCATGACCTCATGACACCTAGCATGCCATCATCATTGTGTGGAGTGCCTCTACTTACGAACCAAAGGCGCGTTGACATAAAATCATCGCTCGGAAATATAATATTGTGTTTAGGCATTGGATTTACTTTGCCTGGGGCCGCATGCTGAAACTTGCGTTACGAAGAAACAAGTGAACTGAATCAACTATTCCCTTCCAAGGCAGCCCCGCACCGTGACCACGTGGCTTGCAGGAAGAATGTTTTTTTGCAAACTAATCTTATTCTGACGATATTTTCCTCACTCACAGAAAAGGCTTGCGTATATTTTCATGAGCAAATAAAATTGGAGGGTGCTACACCTTATGCACAAATTGCTAGAGGCTCTGTTAGAATTTGTCTGGCATAGCACTAACCGACAATCCACGTGTAGCTGAGACAATTTACTTCATCAACGCACGCGTCCCGTCACCTTATCCTTTCACGAGACTGCAGCCTTGGAAAAACCTGAGCAGACCGCTTTTTTTTAGAAACGTTGAGATTTGTGTAACTGACTTCAAGGATTTTCGGCGTAGGTGTGATCAATTTGAGCGGGGTGAGAGACATCCCTCCTCCAATTTAAAAAAGGGACTTTGTCCCTTCCAATTTTGCCTGTGGAAATGGTAGAATGCACGTTTCTCACGTGTTACTTGTTGTTGTTGTTATTGATTGGAGTTTTAGGGCGCGTCGACTACTGCGGTCATTTTGCGCCCATAACAGCCCAATGACTAGCTTCGGGGTGTGACTATGAAATGACTAGAAAATACGTATTATTCAGAAATATAGACGGCTGAGTTGTACCAGGAGCGATGCGATGGACTTGTTTCGCGTCATTGATACGAAATTTTTGGCAGCCTAAAAGCTTCCTACACGCGGTATCAACTATTCAGGCAGGTGTATATAAAGTGCAGAACTTAACATGCGATACAAACCTGAGGGTATGTTCGATATATGGTGACCTGTCACATAGTAAATCGGAGAGCGCCAGGGACGGCGCCGCCGGGCCAAAGTACCTCAGACGCTCGACGCTTAGTGTGGGGCAGCATACGAGCACATGTTCCACTGTGAGCGTGGTGTTGCAGTGGCGACATCGTGGTAGTTCGTCGTGACATAGTAAGTGTCGATGTGTAGCATAAGTATGGCCGATCCGCAAGCGACACAGGGTTACTTCCTCCCGTCTGGACTTTCGATAGGATGACTGCCATTCCTGAACAATCGGTTTAATGCTCTTCAGTTTGTTAGTGCCCATCGCAACCCATGCGCTCTGCCATTCCTCGCGCAAAAAGGCAGAGATGGCCGAGCAAAGGTCTGTAGCGAGTATCGGAAACACTCTGCGACAGGGACGACGAGTAGCACGCTTTGCGGCGGAGTCAGCCAGCTCATTTCCCGCGATGCCAACGTGGCTCGGGATCCAGCAAAGTACTACGGTCTTGCCAGCCCGGTACAGAGAGTCGAGACGCAGTAAGATATCCTGTATAAGGGGATTTACCGGATTAAAACACCTTAATGCCGAAAGGGCACTTAGGGAATCCGATAAAATTACGTGCAGACTGTCTTCGCCCACCTCTATAAAACAAAGCGCCTTAATGATGGCCACAAGCTCTGCAGTATACACGGACGCATGGACTGGCAGTGTAAATGATCGCGTATCGGGACCACACACAAAAGCGGAACCAACACCCGTATCCGTTTTCGAGCCGTCTGTATACGTCATTGTGAACCCCTGATATGTTTCGATATGCTTCAGAGCTGTTGATCTGGCAAAGTACGGAATCATATTTTGCTTCCGAACCTCCGACAATGAGACGTCGACAGTTGGCGATACCATCACCCACGGAGCGGTCGGCAGGCTACGTGGGCGTGCCACACCCCGAAAACTTAAGCCGCTCTCATGAAGAACATTACGAACACGCACACAGAAAGGCGCCACACGTGTTGCTTGTCCGGACTGAAAAACATGGGATGTAT